AAAGATTTGGACTAAAGTCAAGTTTAAACACACACATGATGATCCACACAGCAGAGAAACCATTTGCTTGTGATGTTTGTGGACAAAGATTTGGACTAAAGTCAAGTTTAAACACACACATGATAATACAAACAGGACAGAAACCATTTGCTTGTGATGTTTTTGGACAAAGATTTGGACTAAAGTCAAGTATAAACACACACATTATAATCCACACAGGAGAGAAACCATTTGCTTGTGATCTTTATGAACAAAGGTTTAGACTAAAGTCAAATTTAAACAAACACATGAGAATCCACACAGGACAGAAACCATTTGCTTGATATAATCCCTTCATTGATTATTGGGGATATATTGTAGTGTATCAGTCACTGACTTGTGAATTATTATTGTATCATGACAGACTGTGGTATGTAGAAAGAAACATTTTATCATCCAAACCAAATCGATATTGTATTGTGATAAAGCTCAGTGCCTATGCACTACCTGAAGTCATTGCTGACGTAGCAGCATGTTTTGATGTATAAAATACAGGCTTCTCAAAGATGCAAACTGAAAATCGTGACTTAATTTGCAGTTTTAGGTTGATACTGTAAAAAAGTAAAGCAAGTTTTGATAGGAAGTGCAGTAAACATCTCAACACTGGTTCTTCTGTTCTCTCCAAACATATATTCCACATTTCTGTGCCGAGAAGGAATAAGAGGCAAGAAAAGGCTTAAACCCCAGTTTATTATAACAAATGTACAAGATCCAATCCATAAGAAATAACAGTAAATAAAAGGTATGAAGAAGACAAAACACAGTCTACTAGGATCTATACACAGTGGACAGGGTTTCTTTCCTTCCAAGTTCATCATGAGGTAAAAAGGAAACTTTTAACACTTCAGTCATTGGCACCAAACACAACCAGAACCTCAACTTTCCTCCATTTCTCTTTCTCTGCTGGTTATTTCATAACCAAGAAATACATCCTGATCTCTGCGGAGATCATGAACAGGGCGTCTTTACTCTGACTCAACCCACCAGGACACACAGCTCCATTTCACTCTTTAAAATGGGCTTTACAATATTCTGTCCACCTAAAAGCTAAATATTGTGGAGTTTGTGTGAACTGCAAGCAGCAGGTGTGTCCTGTTTTGGCCGTGGCTCATATCAAAACTAGGGTAAACAGAGTGCTTTATCCTTTCTGTAGACCATGCTGAGAGTAATTTACAAAATATTTTACAAACGGGCTTCTAGTCCCCTCTCAAACCACAGCTCCTGTGACATGCCTTTTCTTGGTCATGCTTTAATCGATGCAGTTTCACTGCAAATGATGAGATATCCTGTGACGTCTACATCACAACCTCCTCTGATGTCACCGTTTAAAAACATGTCAAGTTCTTTTTCAGATTTTGTAAAAAAAAAAAAAAAGTTATGCCAACATGTCCCTACAGAAGAAAAACTAATAAACCCATGCAATCCCAGAGAAATGCCCAATATATTTCCCTCCCATGATTACAAAATGCCTCTAAATATATTACAGCAAAAACTACAGATATACACACAGACTGGTTCCAACAGAGGTCATTGGTTTTGCTTTTAATGTCCGTTCACCTCCTCATAACTGCAACATGAATCTCCTAAACGTCTTAATACACTTAAATTTTCATGATCTTGATGCTGAAAAATTAAAAAGACATGAATAAAGATGAGCAGAAACATTGGGAGGTGTATTTAAAAAGGCATTTTTTTTAGAACTGAGCGTTTCGTTGATCAAAGTCTGCAGGATTTTAAAACTAACAGGATGAAAACAATGTACAAAGAAAATAAGACACTGTAAAGTCTTGCTCAAAGAAGCAAACAAAAGGTTTAGATGTACAAAAAATACATTACAAAAACAAAAATAAATGTTTGGGACAACACTAGACTAAATCTGAGACTTCAGGGACGATGAAAGTTTTCTTTTTGATTTTGTTTCCTTTAAAACAACAGAGTTCATCGGTGGTGCTGTTCAGATAATTAGACATGAATATACCATATATATATATAAAAAAATCCTTGAATGAGTATTCAATATAAAAGTTCTGGGTGTAAAAAATACAGGTTGGTCACTTAATATTCAAACAATAAAGGTTAAATATACTGATGGAACATGGATGGTGGAAAAGTCAGGGTAACGTTTTCATCTACAACACCAGCAGGTTCCCAGCTGGGGTTTGTTAAAAGGTTAGCTTATCAAATATGGGATATAGAACTAAAGATGTGTTAAAAACATCCTACAAATTAAATAAAAAATAAAATCTGTCTGGTTAAACCTTTTTAATTTGGACCTCATTAGGTAACACAGATGTTTTGAATTATCCTTCTAAACTTTATAAAAATTAATTATTTACCAAGTTGCCCAAAGATTTATTTTTCTTCCAAACTCTCTCTTTGTGGGATGAATTCATTAATTGAAGATAGCGACACTCAACAGTTAAAAAAAAGATCACAGTGCAAAAGTTATTCCTTCTAGGACGTCTTAAATGTTGTAAAAGAAGCTGCTAATCGAGAGTCGCTGGGTGTGGACAATAACCAAACCAGCTGAAGCTCCAAGTTTTCTTTCCTTCAACAGATTCTTTGAACTTAGAATTGTGGAATGATGTTTGAAGATTCAACCAGATTCAAAACCAGCTCAGAAATATTAAAGATTTCAGTGTTGAATTTCCACGAGTATGTTAGTGCTTAAGCAAACGATCTCAGATTAAAAGAACAAAAATAAAACACATGGATGAGAAGTGAAGTGGCGACACATTTAAATGAAGGTTTGGCAGTGGAGCTGGACTGTGTGAGGGGATTGTTGCCGGTCAGACAGGAAATGATATGTTGAGTCCCACAGGAACAGCGTCCAGCTGGAGGCTGGGATCYATCCAGAATCAAGCTCCAAAACAAAAAAACAAGAAGTGTTGGCGGAGGGAGGGAATAATAAAGTTAAGCAATATAAAAATACAATACCACAAAAAGGAAACAGTACACAGTTACTTTGTTTTTACAATTGTTCGTTATTGCAGACGTAGTCCACGAGGTCTGTGACTCCTAACAGGTCATCTTCGTCGTCTTCCTGTACCGATATTTCCTGGCCAACCAGACCGTTTGGTGCTACGGCAGGAGCTGGTGTAGAACTGATGGTTTTGGGGGACTCCTGGGTCGGGGTTTGGCCTGGCGCGGCGGGAGCGGGGTCGCTGGCGAAGCCCTCTAGGCTCTTTGCGCTCTGTCCGTTTGTGGGCTGTGACTCAACCTGACCACGGTCCATCGGGTTCGTTCCCTTAGACTCCTCCTCCTCCGCTGGTTTCTTCTCCTTCGGTTTCTCTTCCTCCTCCTCTTCAGAGTCGTCAGAGTCGATGCGGTTCACCCGCTTGCGGATGGGCCGATCCTCCTCCGAGGATGAGTCTGAGTCCGAGTCCGAGTCGTCCTGTTCGGAGGCTCGCCTGCGTTTTAGTGCTAGTCGTCTGCGCCGGTGACGGGATTCTTCATCCGAGGAGTCGGCTCTCCTCTTTTCCCTCCGGTCCCTGGAGTCCTCTTCAGAGTCTCGAGAGAAACTCGCTGGAGATACAAAAACAGGTTATTTTAGCTTTCAGCAGATCTAATGGGTTAGAACTGTTGCAGTCATAACAACACCACAAAAACAAAAAGTTTCAGTTTTTATTAGTGATGAGTCGGCATGCGCCGGTTTCACCGTATACCGTGATATGAAAAAGTCGCAGTTTCAAAATCAATAAAATTAGTCATTTCCTAAGGTTTAAGTTTCCAGAGGTCAACCAGCCCCCCCACATTACCCAAATACTGAAACTTTTATTAAAAGGAGCCATGATTAGTTGTAGCATTAGACTTTATTTAATAAACATATACAGTGTTTTAACTGTAAAATAAAGACTGTAAAAATACTGTAGGATGTTTAGTTTTTATTATTTTTAAACTAAAAATTTAAAAATATATTACACGGACTGAGGAGAACAGTTTAGCTTGTTAGTTTGTTGTTCTAGCGCTGAGCTAATACATATAAGGCAATATAGCATCGGCGCTAAGGCTAAAAGGCTAAGCTGAGGTTCTTCCATGAAGCAGCTCTGTTGTCCTCCATCCAAATTTTCAGTTCCAGGCTGAGTCATTTCTACCTTCTCCTCTATGCCAACGCTCTCTGGTTTCATTTAAAAGAGTCTATCATCAGATATTGTCCAAGATTAACCTTCAGGGTGGATATAGCTCGCTAGCAGCCTCGTATCGAGGACATATCCACGTCATCATTTACCCAGAATGCTTTGCGTGTAAACAAAATGGCTCCGTCAGTGTTAAAATATATTTTTAAAATTTACAAAACCAAGCAGCCTACAGTATTTTTATAGCCTTTATTTTACAGTTAAAATAAATGTTCATCAAATAAAGTCTAATGTTACAACTAATCATGGATCCCTTTAATATTTTAAAAACGATAGCCACACAAACGTTTGACACCAATTTTGTTAGATTTGAAGAAGGTGGTGGGGCCAACGTCACACAGGGTCTGGATGCAGAGGAGAAGCAGCTCTACTCTGAGCTCCGCCTAGCCCGAGTCCCACCATCCTACAGAGGAAACTCATATCTGCTGCTCGACTTCCAGAACCAGAAATCACCCAAAACAACCAACATGGTAACTCTTCAGTTTTGAAACATCTGAGTGATCCGGTTCTGACTCACCGTCACTGTCGGAGCTCTCCTGACGCCGTCTGGGTTTGATTTTGGCCCGGTTGGTTTCTGCCTGAGAGCCTTCAGACTCTGACGTCTCGCAGTAGTTCACCTCCTTCTTGTGGCTCCGCCGAGACCGCCGCCGACTCATGTCCAGATCACTGTCGCTGTAATCGCTCGAGCCTTCAGTCACTAAAAAACAAACAAAAAGTTTAAGTTCTTTCATATACAGGTCAATATTTGTCTCAGAAACCAAGGTGTTACAGTAAGAGTTCAAAATAAATTAAATGAATGCAAAAATCTGAGTTTTTCTTTCGCCCTGCCTAAGATATTGATGTGACCTGAATTTTTTGTCTCATCTTTTTAACATCCCTCCCCACCGTATTTCTCATATATATCATAATAATTACCTATGTCATCCTCTTCCACGTCGTCATCCGTCTCCTCCTCCTCATCAGAGTACCACCTGGGTCTCCGCCTCTTCCTGGAGCTCTGCCTACGTTTCTGCGGCCTCCTGTTCCTCCAGGAAGAGCGATGCCTGCCGCTGTTGTTGCTGCCAAAGTCGCTGTCGTTGGAGTTCTGCTCCGTTTCTTGTTCCGACTCGTTGTCCGACGCGACGAACTCCTCCTCCGAGCTGAAGCCGAACAAAAACATAAATGGGTTCAGTACGGTCAGAGGTCAGACGGGGGTCGGAGTTGAAACGCCCCCGCTACCTTTCGCTGAGGCGAAACTCCTCCTCGCTCTCCTCCTCGTCCACGGTGCTGTCGCTGTCCAGGTCGTTGAGCCGCCGCCGCTTCTTCCTGCGCTGCCCGGCGCTGGGTCGGGGCGGCCGGCCGTTCTCTTTCCCCTCCTCTGATTGGAGGATGGTGGATATGTCCTTACCTCTGTGACCTGTGATGTTGGCCATGTCTTTACCTCGGCCAGCTCCTGCAACAGACAGAACAAAAACCAAATCATTATATCAAAATAATCTAATTTCCTTACTTTTTTGTGTTGATTTTAGTTTGTCTTAAACAAGAAAGATACTTTAATAATTATACCTCCTCCTTCTGCTTCTTTGATGTCCTCCTCGATGGCCTCCTCGATTGCCTCGTCGAATTCATCAAATCTGCAAAATGAGTGCAAAGAAGAAAGAACGAGTCAGAAATCCCTCCTCATACACATCACATTACGTTTACGCAGCATTTATAATTTCATATAAGAGAACTGAAGGTCAACAGTTGCAGATAAAAAAGTGTCTAAAACTAAATAAAATAGAACATTTCAAATGTGGCAGGTAATTCTCTGGTAACTTGGAAACCAAATTAATAAGAACTTGTATTCAGTTCAAGACTTATTATTTCCTCTCAAAGCAAACAAACTATAATTTTGCTTTTACAAATTAATTTCTCTCAACGTGGTTCCCATTTTCTTTAATAAAGTAGGTAATTAGCTTTAGTATTTATTTATGTAAAAAATAGGGATGTCCCGATACCACTTTTTCACTTCCGATATGATACCGATTTACAACTTTGAGAATTGTCCGATACCGATATTGACCGATACCTATATTGACCCGTTACCATAACAGTACAAGTCACACACTTTTACCTATTTTGTAATGTAAAATCTTAGAAAAATCTTGATCAAGTCAAACAGTGAAAAAGAGTAGGTATGAGAAAAACTGACCCATTTATTTTTAACCAATGGNGTCAAACAGTGAAAAAGAGTAGGTATGAGAAAAACTGACCCATTTATTTTTAACCAATGGATCACATACATTTTAAACTGAAGAACATTATACAATTTAATAAAATTAATTAGAAGACACTGAAAAATAAAACATAAAAACAAAATGTACTTTTAAAGTATTAAATAACAATTCAAAATCACTTCTGTTATTGTTTTACTACCTGTCAGCCTGGTGCTGCTTTATGGTGGAAAAAACTGAAGGTGGGAACAAAACAAAAGCCCACATTATTGTCTGTTCAAAGTTAAGAGTCCACAGCTTCAATTTTACTGACTGTAACTAAAACAACGTGATCATTGCACTTAATCTTCACTCAAACAAGTGTGTAAACAGATTAAACATCACTCTAATAACAAGAGCAAAAAATTAATAGTAAGAATTAGTCAGTTATTTAAATTAATAGCTACCTTTCTTACTGCTGGATTTCCACTTTCTACAGTCTGAGCATCATGTGGAGATCAGCCTCTCGCTCCTGCAGGGAGCAGTTTTTATCACTGCTCTCGTCATGTCGCGCTTATATTTCAAAACAAAAGCTGCGCTCTCCTTTTTTCTGTCCATCAAGAGCTAATCCACGGGATGTCAAAACTGTAAGCGTGCTGTCCTCGCTTCTGCCAGCTTAGAACCACCGACCGGACCAGAGAGGAGGTTCCGAAACAGAGCGGCTGTGTGCGGTCACTGGACCGAGGCTGAACGAACCGAGCCGAACCGCAAAGCTGCTGCCAGGGTGGAGAGTAGTTGTCACTCCGGTTTAAAACGTTCACGGTTCTGTTCCCCCTCGGAAAACTTGTACATGACAACTTTGCACTTGGCTTCAACTCTGTTTCTGATGAAAATAGAAGGTTCTGCTGACATTCTTGCTAACTTGTTAGCGCTGCACGTTGTTGTGATCACGTGAGCGCTACATACTGGATCCAAGCTCTGCTGGATAGAAACACTGGAGTGGAGGCAGTGGACTGCTGGATTGAACTGTTTATAATGGAGCGTTTATATCGGACATTTTTTATGCAGGCTGATAAAATCCGATACTCATTTTTTGGCTGCTTTCGGACCAATATCCGATATCAATATCAGATCGGGACACCCCTAGTAAAAAAGACAAATGATCAAATCTCTAAAAACAGTGGCCACCACACAATTTTTGTATAAATATACTGTATGTTAGGGGTGCAAAGTTACAGAAAATTCACGATTCAATTTGGTTCAATACTTTGGTCTCACGGTTTGATTTTTTTTTTTTGACACAAAAAAGAGAAATGTCCATGCCCTTCTTAACTTGCAATTTATTTTACTATTTATGAACATTGGTTTAACCTCAAAAGCTTGGTTTTTAAATTAAATGTAGCTGAAACTGCAGGTTTCTCAGTGGATCTGTGCTCCACAATGCAGCCTAGGTGGAGTAGTTGAACACAGATCCACTGATCCTTCAACACAGAGCATCTTCAGAAGACAAGCAGATAAAATACATTTTAAAAATCTGTATTGTTCCATACACAGTGTGTATTGAACCTAAAGTTCTGTGTTGAATGATTCAATACAGATACATGTGTTGTTGCATCCCCAAATATACGTATATGCATATACCAGTATATATATATTTTTTCTTTGTTAGTTCCTGTTTACACAGGAAGAGTTATATTATTAATTTTTCCTTCTTTCTATAAAGTCAGAAATAAATAAAGCAATCAATGAATCAAAATAAAAGTAAACATAAATAGGCTGAACTTCTTCCTTTAACAGAAACACTAAAGCCTTGATTTGAACAGATGTTTTTGTTTTAGTTTGAGGACATAAAAGCGTTGCTACAAAGGCAGCAGATTTATTTTCTAAATAAATCCATGCAGTCATCATTCGGCTCTCACCTGTAGCTGATGGTCTTCTTCGCCCTCGTCGACCTTCGACCCCAGCTCTTACTGCGCTTTGCTTCTTTCTTCTCTTTGATGATGATCTCAGGCTTTTCCTCCTCTTCCTCCACCTCCACCTGTCGGAGGAGTTGAGGATGTCTTATTTCACAAACATCAGCGGGAGAATTGGTTTGTGTCCGTGCATCTACAGCGTGTACTTACTGACGGCGTGATGATGTTCTCCACGCTGATTCCTACATAAATCAGACGTTCTTTCCTGCAGGAGAAACGCAACAAGAAAAACACACATTAGCTTGATTAAGAAACGGTGTCTTTGCACTTTTTATAGTCAAAATTATGGAGCAACAGAGCTGACAAAATTAAAAATAAAGTCAGAAATATGGTTTATTTGTATTTTAAATTTATTTAACTTTGTTTTACCACAAAAGAAATTTAAAATGTACAGAAATAATTAGATATAAGCACAGGTTACCGTATAAAAAATAATTATAAAAACCTCCCAAATTATAACCTATACTATTTTTCTCTAAGTTTTAAGCAAAGTTTTAGTGGAGAAAAAAAAACTTTTCTAACCCTTTTGGTTCTTCAGTGGTCATAAACTTTGTCTTTAAGTTAGTACTCTAAAACATAAATGGACCACTGGAACAACAAAGTGTTTTATTTAATTAAAACTAACGCAGGAACTTTCTCACCGTCTCTCAGCCCGTTCTTTCTTTTTCAAGGCAGCGTCGAGGTTTTGGAGCTGCTCCTCCAGTTTGTCGCAGAGTTGTTTCTGCAAATTACATTAAAAAAAACGTTTTAACATTTTGTTCACATTTCGTTTCCTTTCCTGTCGTGGTGTTTTAACCCCTCGGACGGATACGTACATGCTGACAGGGCGGGCAGAACCATTCTCCGTCGGGAATGATCATGAGAGGAGGTCTGAGACAAGCTGTGTGGTAACCGCTGTCACACGAGTCGCACAGTAAGATCTGAAAAACAAACCGGTGGTCAGCGGTGGGCACGGTTCTGCTAACCTGCTAATAAAAGAACTAGCTTCTCATTTAACAGATTAGCCTTTCTGCTATTAGCTTCCACTAAATTAGGTTCCACTAACTTTAAGTGAACTAAAGATTTCACAACTTCTATTTTTATGCCTTTTATCCTGATATAAATAAAAACTATCCCTTCATACAAGTAGTGCTGGGCGTGTCAGGCGACGTATGTTTAGCATGTAGCATCTTTAGCAGCTAAACTTCAAACTAAGGCTGTCAAAAAGAAATAAAATAACATTTAACAATATTTAAATAAATAGAAAAACTGACTACATATAAAATATGGGTAGGGAAAATATTTGACTGATTTCTAACAGGATTTGTAAAAAAATACAGGCTCAATCAAAGAAATGCATTTATTTTGAAAGGGCTGAACTCGAAGTATCACAATCCTTGTTTGGATTGGCCAATTTGCCACAAATGATCACCTTCAAATTAAACCAACAGAAAACTAACAACATGTTTGCTAATCAACTTAACAGTTAGCATTAGCTTTCTCTAGATTTTCCAACTGTTTAATGGTTTAGCATTAGCAGAGCTAAAGTTCTGGTTTAGCATATTCGTGAAGCTAACTTTCTGATTGGCTGTGCCCACCACTGCTGATGGCACGAGTGTTTTGCACAAATACCCGTTATTTTGCAAAGACTAATTAGTGCAGAGTTGCTATAATTCATAAAACCACACAAGTGTAGGATATATCAAGAGGAAATGAATCATAAACGTTCTTTATTGTGCTTCTAATTTCATCGTTTGCTTAATGTTAGCCTCAGTGGTGTGTTAGTTTCAGTCTGGTGCAAATGTAAATTACTTAAATGCACAAATATTAGTACAAACATTAAGGAAGGATCTGATGGTACCCACCAGCTCCGGGTGATTTGGAAGACCACAGTGTTTGCAGGGGTCGTCGTTTGGAGGTAGATCATCATCCGAGGACGTGGATGAGTCCGAGCTTCGTCTTTCTCTCCTCCGGTTTCGTCTCTTTCTGCTTCGCTCGACCTTGTAGTCCTCGTCGCTGTCGTCCTCTTCCTCGCTCTCCTCCTCCTCGGTGGACGACTCGTCGCTGTTCTCGTCCTCGTCTTCGGAGTTCTTCCTTTTCCGGCGCGTTCGCGTGTTGGACCAGCAAGTCCTCCGCCTCTTTCTTCCCTGAACGCAAACATGGCTGCGTGTTTTCGTTACCGGGTTAAACAGCGATGGATAAAAACGTTAGGATGTTTCAGTCTTACCTTGGGTTTGGGCTGACTCTCCGGATCAGCTTTTTTCTCTTTGGGTTTCCTTTGAACAGTCTTGAAGTCAGTCTCTTCCTCCTCCTCTTCCTCTTCCTCCTCCCCTTCCTCTTTCACCTTCTCGTCTTTGTCGTTTTCCTGTTTCTGAGGCGTCTTCTCCACCTTTCTGTCCTGAATCTCCACCACCTTCTGGGTGGGTTTAGAGATCCTGGGAGATCTTCGCAGACACATCCCGGTGTTCGTGTCCGACTCCGAGTCTCCCTGACGCTCCTCCCTCTGAAGCTGGGCTTTCCTTCGATGCGCCAGAGGCCTGTTTCTTCTCCGACCCTTGCCGCCGTTCTCAGCCTTTCTTGTTTTGGTTTTGCTGTCCTTGTCTGTGGAGGCGTCGGTGGATTCTTCTCTGCTTGGCTGCTTGTTGGTTACCTCTACAGGTTCAGTATCAGGGTCTTTGCTCGTCTTTCGGGGCTCAGATTCCTTGTCTGTTGAAGTTTTATTTTGAGCTTTTTCCTCCTCCTTCGCGTCACATTTTAAGACCTCATCTGTTGAAAAACCATCTTTTTCTTTGTTTGAAAGTTTATTGTCCTTAACAGTATCCTTCATACTTTCTGAAGACGGACTCTCTGTCCTGGTGATCTCCGAGTCTTTCTCAGGCTCTTTCTCCTCCTCGTCTTGTTTTTGAGACGTTCCATCCCTTTCTTCACCAGTCTTTGATGGTTTCTCTCTCTGTTCGCTGCCGTCGTCTGTCGCTTTGCTAACGACAGACTCAACCTCTGTTTTTGTTTCCTCGTGTGGTTTTGTCGGATCAGATTTAACGTCCGGCGTCTCTTCTGTGATCCGTCCGGTCTCGGCGTCACTTCTCGCGGTCATGTTGCGAGTCGTGTTACCGTCGCATTTGGCGATTTTCTTCGCGTCTTCTGGATTTTCTGTCTTTTTCTCACACAGCTGATCGGGAATCGTTTCTTCGACGTTGTCACCCTTCTCTGAAGGTTTACATGATTCTGATTCTTCTACGAGAGCAGGAGTCTCCACGCTCTCCTTTGTGTCGACCGTTTCTTCTGATTTCTCGTCTGATATTTTTGTGAYACCCGTTGATTCGGATTCTACGGGTTTCTCTGGAGGATCTTTGTCTGCAGACCGGGTCTCAGTTCTAACGGACTCTGATTTCTCTTCCAGTGCAGACGGATCTGATTTGTCAGCGTTACTTTCAGATGCAACAGTTTCAGTTGATCCCTCAGTCCGGTTAGATTCGTGTGTGTCAGAGTTTCCCGCTGACTCAGCTTCTTTGGATTTGATTTCATGATTTGACTTTGAGTTGTCCAACTTGTCGCCTTCTTTTAAAAAGTTTGACTTGTTCTCTGTAGACGAGACTTCGTCTGCTGATTTGGAGTCTTTCATTTTCTCAAGATTTTCCTGATTAGACGGCATCTCTACTCCATTATTTAAGTCCTTACACACAGCTATCGTATCTTTTGATGGTTGTGATTTTTTGTGAGCGTCTCTCTTTTCCGTTTCTGTCTCGTCTAACACATTTTCTGCTGTTTTTGAGTCACTTTGCTGTAATTTGGCTTCCTTTATAATCTCTACCCGATACGCCTCATCCTTGTCTTGCAGTCCATCTTTGTCCGCGGCTGGGAGAGCGTTCACTGTGGATTTATCCGTCTGCTCTTTGTCAGCAGCAGATTCTTTCAGCGGCTCTCGCTCTGAGGGAGGCTGAACTTCACCATTAACTTGATCGTTTACTCTCTGGATTTTCTGTGATTGTTCGGGAGTTGTTTCGATCTCAGAAGCCTCCTTCGGGATAGGAAGTGATGGAATTTGTGGAGTTATGGACCTGTTTTTTTCAAAGTCCTCGCTAAACTTCTTCCCTCGTTTTTTCAAGGGGACTTTGGCCTGCTGGTCGTTTTTCATGGCCTGTTGGATCTCCTCTGAACGGTTCTTTGCGGCCTCTTCTCCCTTTTCGGCCTTGATGGAAACGCTCGTCTCGTGGGACGAAGCCAGGTCGCTGAGTGCCGGTTTGATGTACGCCATCTCCGCTGGCTCCTTTTTGATGTTCTGAGCTTTGGCGCCGACGTTTTCCGAGTCAAGTTCCGCCTCAGGTTTGCCTTCAACGACGCCGTTCAGCGACACTTTGGTGTCGGGGCTTTCTGACTTCAGTTTGTCCTTTTGAGTTGCTTCGTCTTTTTCTGGACAAACAGCCTCGCCCGAGTCCTTCCCTTCATCAGACGTGTCCTCTGCCTTTTTGACGTCCTCTAGAAGTAACGACAAATGTAAAGACTCAAGTTTAGATTCTTGTTGATTCAGAACAAAACAGTTTCATAAATAAAAATTAAGCCCCAAGGGGTTTTCTTGAAGTTTTTTCTCAAAATGCCATGCTGAAATATAATTGAGTGTATCTCAGCATTTACAAACTCTACTTAAATAATCTTGGTATCAAAATAAAGCAACACTTGGGAGATTTCATCAGAAGTCTAAGTATTAAAACACTTGCTGTGGTTTTACAGATATTGGGGATGGAACATAATATATATATATATTTTTCACTCTCACCTGAATAATTTTTGCATTAGACAGTATATAACCTATTTAAAACCATAATCAATCAGGCTAAAAACTCTTGGAAACCATAAATCCACTTGTGGACATTACCTGTGCAAAGATTCATGCTGCTAAAATTAACTGGAGCAAAGTTACAGAGGTTTTAGTAAAGAAATAATTTTGCATTTTGTCATTCTACACAGGATGGACCATGATGGTACCATTAATAAATATTAAGAAATCTGAAGTTTTTACTTCCAAAAGTTATTTATTTTTTCTTACCTGCCTGAAAAGATTTGTTATTGAATGTTTGTTCTTTTTAAAAATTATCCAAACATTTATTTGTCACCATATATATTATATAAAATAATGAGAAATTATATTTGACTTTAGTTGGATCATATTTACTCAAAATCAAGTAAAAAAAAAACCCTTTCAATAGACTTTACATATTTAGGTATCTACTTTGACTTGCTTAAAAAAATAATGTCAGAAATTTTTACTTTACAGATTTGCAATGATGGCATTTTGTACAGTTTGTTTACTTTCTGATTTGAACTGTGTTTGGTGAATGTACAAATAGTTTCCATGAGCTTTTAGCCAAGATTCTTAGCTTTCTATTGATACCAAACATGTCCAGGTTCAACTCACAGATTTTAAGTTAAAAGTAGTTAAAAGAAATAGAAAATGGAAAAAGCTGTTTTACCCCCGGTCAATGGGGCATGTGGCTCAAGAGGTTAAAGAAAACGACATGTTTTGTTTTTCTGACATCTACCTTTACTTTCTGTTTTTTCTCCATCTTCTTCAGCTTTAAGTTTGTTTTTCTGCTCCTCGTCTCTTTTCAGCAGCTCGGGATCAATGTGTGTCTTCAGCAAGGCAACGACTTCAGCCAAATCATTTCTATTTCTAAAGACAGAAAAGAGATTTTAAATGTATTTTCTGAATTTAACCCAATCAAACAAACTAAATATGAATGATTTCTCTGCGAAGGGTAAGATTCGGGATGTTTAAAGTGTAATTATTGTCTCTGCTGACCTGACGATGCACTTCCACGACGCCCCGTCCAGGTCGTCCTGCTCCTCCACGTAAACCCTCACGTTGTCGTCTTGGTCCAGCTGGAACCAGTACATCTGCCCGTCCTTGTCCCGGCCAATTGGCTGAAGGCGCATTTTATCGGGGTCCTCGTCATTGATGGCGGTTTTGAACTTCACGTTGTCATCAAACTGACACTCACACAAATACTGAAGAAAGAGCAGGACAGTTCTTATTTATGACGTACTCACAACAAGTCTTTGTTTTGAACTTTAGTTTAAAACTTCAAGGGCAGAATTAAACACAGCATCATCATCATCATCATTGTGTTCTCACTTTAAGTATCCCCGTCTTGCACTCCATGGTCAGCTCTTTGTATCCCTTCTCCTCGAGCTCCCACGCCCAGGTTGTGTTGACCTCCTGACATATCTGCAACAAAAACCAGAGCGTTAAACAAAGACACAGAGTTAATAAAGTCTGTGGAAAGTACAACAAACACAAGTTCACCATGTTGTCTCTTAAAGAAGCAGCATTAAACAAAGATTCATCCTTCAACCACCCTAATATTTGGTGAAGCTTTTTCAGCAGCACATTTACATAATAAGTTGTCTTGTATAATTATATATAATGTATAATGATAACTGTGTCCACATCGGTACAGAACACATGTAAATGCATCTTTGTATGAGTTTGTTTTTTGTCTTCTTGTCCATTTCAACACAGCATAATATAATTTATAAATAACTCCTAAATAAAAGTTGGTTATGCTATGATAGTGAAGTCATTAAGAGACAAGTTTGCTCATGTTTAAAGGGATGCTCTGTCTAATAGTTATTAATTGTGGAATCAGTCCTAGAATGCAGAGGAAAATTAAATTCAGGCTAATGTTTCATAGCAAATAATAATAATAATTATAATAATAATAAAAACATTCAGCAGACTAAAGACATTTATATTTGTGTAGTAACACTGAAACAATTGCAAAAGTGCAAAGGTTTATTATTATCCATTTTAGTACATTTTAATACATTTTCTAACTAAAATGTACTGTGTACTTTGCTACACAGTTTTTCTTTTATTTATTTAAAAATACCAAATTAAAACCCACTGTAAGCAGAGAGACCAATGATTTTGACCGATATTCAAAACCAGACTTACCTTGGCCAGGTACTTCTCCCATCTGTCTGCAGTCACCGACTTGCCAATCTTCCTCAGCAGCTTGACGTGAAGATCAACCAGCAGCTTTGGAACTGAGGAGACAAAAAAGTCAAATGATTAACCTTTTTACACCAATACTATGTACTACTACTACTACTACTACTACTACTACTACTACTACTACTACTACTAATAATAATAATAATAATAATAATAATAAACTCACGGTAATTTGTAATACACTTGTCATTAACGAAAATCTTAAAGTACTACAAAACATACAGTAAGTCTTCAAACTTGTAAAAGCAAAAAAACAACAGTAAAATTACAAACTAAAACAGAGCTGGGAAAAGGCTCGTTTTTAAGCCCAGTTAAAAATCTAAAAACAACGATGCCTTCAAACGGTGCTGCAAAAACACAAGCTGTTTTTAACAAAGCCATAACTTCTTTCCCACTTGAAGAAGCAACACAATTACTTTTACTCCTTGGTAACAATTAGTGCGCAAAAAGACAAAACCAATAACACAAATAAAAATGCAGTTGTACATATTTATGTGCGCGCCACTGAATCGAAACAAATATTTTGCTACTCTGACAATCAAATAAAAAAATACAGCTGACGTTAAAGTAAAATTTTTACACAAGTGATTGGTAAAGTAAAGAGAAAGTGAATAAAAACAATCTGAATGATAATTATACTAAAGTAAAAAAGTTTTACATTAAATCAAGCCATACAAAACTGGCAGAAATGGATTTGAGGATAAGTAGACAATTTCAGGTTTTATACATTTCTGAAAATGTTCACAGGACATGTTGCTACAAAAAACACAACTTTTATTTAACATTATGCTAAAATGAACCCTCCTAAAACAAACTGGAATATTACTTAAAATGAAATTACAACAAAAGGAGATGTTTTTCCTCCTTTTATTAAACAAAAAAAATGATCAAATGTGTAACCGTGATGCCTCTTGAATGCACGAGGTGACGCCACATGTATATTAGAATCAAAAATTAAAACCCAATCAGGAGCGCCACAAACCGGAAGCGTAAAGAAGCGTCAATTTGCTGCAATAAGCAGCGGAAGTTCCAGTGTTTTATATATCTATGAAAACGTAAACTGGACTTGAAGCGAATACGTAGAAGCTGTAAAAGTTAAATTGACATAAACATGCATTATTAGTAATATGAACACCGACATTTATGTTAAACGTAGTCATAAATCGATATCAACTTTTATTATGAAGGTTCCGACCGGATATTGTCACTGCTGCAGCTCAACTCTGCAGAAGCTCGGCTGGCAAATTATTTTAACTGTTAATAAAGTACATACTTTTCATCCCGATTCACAGCCTGACGTGTTGAGCCACAGTTTAATAAAATCACAGTTTGCTATGTGAACTACTGCGACGTTTAAACGGAGTTTTCACCGTTCATTTGTCTCTATGTTGTCAGAGAAGCAGCAGCGGCAGCAGATAAAGGCTGGAAAAAATAAGCTCAATTCAAAAGCTAAAAAGTGACAGAAAACATCGACTAATTCGGCAGGTCTGGATTGCAATAAACGTTAAAATGCGTGTAGAAGCATTTTCCTCTTCGAACCGTGGATCTGGATGGCGGATAACTTGTGTTTAAGTAAACACGGAGGTTTAAAAAAAACACACAATAACACCGCGAAGCTAACATTAGCTCATAGCTCCATTATCATTAATGCAACGCTGAAGCCTCTCCTCGTCCTCGCCACCAGCTGCGAGGTTTCGTGCCTCACCTGATGATGTGTCCTGCAGGTATCTCTCCAGCTGAGGGAAAGTGAGCTCCGGTAAGTCCAGCAAGCCTCCGTACCGCTCCAGAAACGAGCAAATCACGGCGTAATTTGGACACAAACCCGGGGAAGAACTCGCTGTTGCCGCCGAAGCAGCCATTTTTTCCCTCAGACCAGCGTCAAGCGCGCGTGAATTAAAAGCACCATTTCCGGTATCAACAAAATAAAGCAGT